GGCTTGTGCCACCAGCGCCAGGCTATGTATATTATCTTATCATTTACAAATAGTTAAAGTTTGACTTCTTCCTTTCCAATTTCTATCGTCTTGATATCCTTTTTTTTGTCATTTTTGCTGTAGCTAGAATTTTGACTACAATATTCAATAGAAAACGAGAGAGTAGACAGACTTACGTTCTTCCTGGTTTTATTGAAATCACATTGAGTGTCTCTCTATGTACTTTGATGTTGGCTCTTGGATTGCTATATATTGCCTTTATTATGTTTAGTAATGTTCTTTTATCTTTGATCTCACCAAGACCTTTATCATGAAGGAGTGTTGGAATTTGTCAAAGGCTTTTTCAGAATCAAATGAAATGATAATATGATTTTTCTTTCATTTTGTTTATATGATGGATTACACTGACAAATTTCCATCCATTGAACCAACCCTGCATCTCTGAGATGAAGCCAACTTGGTCATGGTGAATGATTATTTTGATGTGTTCCTGGATTTGGTTTGCAGTATTTTATTGAGTATTTTTGCATCAATGTTCATGTGGGAGATTACTATGCATTTCTCTTTCTTTTTGCATCTTTGTGTGGTTTGGGTATCAGGGTTACTGTAGCCTCATAAAAGGAGTTTGGCAATGTTCTTTCTGTTTCTATTGTGTGGAACAGTTTCAGAAGTATTGGTATTAGCTCTACTATGAAGTTCTGGTAGAATCCTGGGCCAAAAGCATCTGGCCCTGGGCGGTTTTTTTTTTGTTTTTTTTTTGTTTTTTTTTTTTTTTTGGTTGGAAGAATTTTGATGACAGGTTCTATTTCCTTATGGTATACAGGTCTATTTAAGTTGTTTATCAGGTCTTTATTTAATTTTAGTATGTGGTACATATCCAGAAAAATGTACATTTCTCTTAGATTTTTCAATTTTGTGGATTACAGGTTTTCAAAGTATGACCTGGTGATTGCCTGGATTTCCTCAGTATCTGTTGTTATGGCTCCCTTTTCATTTCTGATTTTGTTACTTTTGATATTCTCTCCCTGCCTTTATCTTAGTTTGGAGAAGTGTTTGCCTATCTTGCTGATTTTCTTAAAGAAATTCCTTGTTTTATTGATTCTTTGTATTGTTCTCTTTAATTCTATTTTATTGACTTCAGACCTCAATGTGATTATTTCATGTCACCTACTCCTCTGGGGAGAGTTTGCTTCTTTTTGTTTTAGAGATTTCAGGTGTTCTCTTAATTTGATAGTGTGGGATTTCTCTAATTTCTTTATATAGGTGTTTAGAGCTATGGAGTTTCCTCTTAGCATTGCATCCATAGTGTCCCACAAGTTTGGCTATGTTTTACATTCATTCTCATTGAATTCTATGACATCTTTAATTTTTCTTTATTTCTTCCTTGACCTGGGGGTGATTAAGTTGGGCATTATTCAGTTCCATGAGTTTGTGGCTTTCTGGACTTTGTGTTGTTGTTAATTTTAAGCCATGGCTATCTGATAAGATACTGGGGGGTTATTCCAATTTTTCTGTATTTGTTGAGATTTGCTTTGTAACTGACTATGTGGTCAGTGTTAGAGAACATTCCATGAGAAGAAGGCATATTCTTTTGTGTTTGGGTGGAATGTTCTATAGATGTATGTTAATCCCATTTGAGTCATAACATATGTTAGATCCCTTATTTCTCTCTTAATTTTCTGTCTGGCAGACCTGTCCCCCACTGAGAGTGGGGTGTTAAAGCCTCCCACTCTTAGGGTGTGGGGCTGGATGTGCGATTTAAACTTTTACAATATTTTTTTTTATGAATGTGGGTGCCCTTGTATTTGGGACACATGTTGAGGATTGAGACTTCTTCCTGGATTTCTCCTGTGATGAATATGAAATATCCTTCATCAACTCTTTTGATTACCTTTAGTTTGATTACCTTTAGTCCATTTTGTTAGATATTAGGATAGCTACACCAGCTTGCTTCTTAGGTCCCTTTGATTTGAAATTCTTTCCTATTCCTTTATTATAATGAAATGTCTGCCTTTGAAGTTGAGGTGGGTGTCTTGTATGGAGCAGAAGTTTGGATCTTGTTTTTTAAATCCATTTTGTTAGCTTGTGTTTTTTTAATAGGTGAAAAGCATACATTGGTTTTAAGGGATCTTGATGACCAGTGATTGTTTATTCTGCTATTTCTATTGGTGGTATTTTGTGTGTGTGTGTGTGTGTGTGTGTGTGTGTGTGTGTGTGTGTGTGTTTCATTTTTTTAGAATTTGCTGGTGTGTGATCATTTATTGCCTTGCTTTCCTGCATATATCTAACCACCTTGGGTTGAAGTTTTCCTCCCATTGCTTTGTAGGCCTGGATTTGTAGATAGATATTATTTAAAACTGGTTTTGTCATGGAGTATATTGTTTTCTCTATCTATGGTAATTGAAAGTTTTTCTGGATATGGTAGTCTGGGTTGGCATACATGCTCTCTTTGAGTCTGCATAATGTGAGTCCAGGACCTTCTAGCTTTCAGAGTCTCCACTGAGAATTTGGGTGTTATGTGTTACTTGAATTTTTTCCTTTGCAACTCTTAATATTCTTTCTTAATTCTGTATATTTTCTGTCTTGATTATTATGGGGTTGGAGGAAATTTTTTGGTCCAGTGTATTTGGTGTTCATAACATTTTTTTATCTTCATAAGAATTTCCTTGTTTAGGTTGGGAAAGATTTCTTCTATGATGTTGTTGAATATGTTTTCTGTGCTTTTGAGTTGGTATTCTTCTCCTTTTTCTCTCCCTATTATTCTTAGGTTTGGTCTTTGTGTTTCTCTCCTGCCAGTTTCAATGTACTTTCTTTTTTAGTTATCTTATTATGTGGGGACATTCTTTTCTGGTCTTGTTTATGTGATGTCTTAAATCCCTCCTGTATCTGAATTGGCATCTGTTCTGGCAATGCCCACTTATGGGAAAATGGATTATTTTGTTTATAACTCTTGTTTCAATGTATTTTTGATGAGAAGTCTTGGCAGGTGGTTAAAGCAAATGATCACAGTAAAGAGCAGAAAGAAAATTATGTCTACCCTTGCTTTGTTGCCCCTAATATCTTTCTCTTTCTTCATGCTTTCCTGGACTCCCATGTGTAGTGACTGTTGCTGCCCACAATGTGATTCATTATTGGTTAACCATCCAGACAATATTTGAGTGATGTGCCCATGGGTGATATGATCGAATGATTCATTAAAATCTCTTCCAAGGTTATTATAGGTTGCACACCTTTAGTGTATTTAAATCACCTTCTCTCTCTGTTGTTCTTTAATTTTTACACTTTATATACCTCAACAAAATCTTTCTGGCAATACAAAAATTAAGATGTGGCGTCATTCTATTTTTCAAGTAAATGATTTGAATGAGTGTAGGGAGACATTGTAGCCCCGCCTCCTAGTAGCCCCTACAGGTGTTCCTGGCCACGCCCGTGAGGGTGTGGTCAGGGGAGGTCGAAGATGACTCGGAGAGAATTCTTAATTTTTCCCTTCTTGTTTTTTATTAGTTCAAGTTAGGG